AGGGACTGAGGAGCCCAAGGGGAAGGGAACACGGGACACCTGAGAAAAGGGAAAGACTCCAAAAGACTAAACAGTTAACCTAAAGGAGTTATTTTAAATCAAAAGGCTTGACACTTTTAATTGGCAAAGTCAAGTTTTCACCCATCAGTGGAAAAACGTGTAAAAATGAAAGGAAGTTACATAAATTTTTTCACATCTGAGTCAACATACATGATTTTTTTTGGGGGGGATTGGGGTACATGTAGAATATATTTGAAGGAGATTAGTGGGAGGTAAGAGACAGAGGTAGACTGAAATTAGAATGGGTTACATTGAGGAAAGAGAAAATGGACAACGATGTTGATTCTGCAGATCTTTACTGATCTGAATCCAGGACTGAATCTCATCAACTAAGAATTAATGCAAGCTTTTCTAGTCCTCATAAGGAATCCTCATTCCTTCTCTGAAACATAAATCTTTTCCCTACAGGGCATAAATAAGAAACTTCCTTCTTTTTGAGGAAATTATTAAGAATATTATTCAAAAAAGGAAAACTTCACATGGCCACAGTGCAGAAAAAGTTAATTTGGGCTCTGATGGTCCATGAGTAAGATGTGAAGACGTACCTCACAACTCCTAGGAGAGTGACAGCAAGTTTTGGCTAAGCCTGTCTGTCTCAAACATCTGTCTTGCACATTCACAATATCCCTAGGCAGGGAAGGAAAGACGGCCCTTTCCGTTACACCTTCTAGTTTGTTGTTTTAGCTCATAATTAGATCAGTTTAAGAGAATAATCCAAATAAATTGACCTCACAGATTAAAAATGTGTTAGCTTGTCTTCTGCTTTAAATCAGTGTCAGCAGCTGTTTATTGCTTCAAACAGGACAAAATAATTAAAGTGATCCCTTAATGTCTTACACCTTCCAATTGAAGATTAGGGATACCCATCAAAGCTTGAAAAAAACAAGCAATACATTTTCTTCAAAGCAAAACTGCAGCCTAACTCTGAGATCTTCCCCATGTGTGCACAACCATCAAGCAAGAGGAGGTTTGGTTGGGGCACCAACTTCTGTGCAAGTGGAGGGGTATGAACTAGGAGAATACCAAGCAGAAGCACATAGAGACACATGAAAGCAGTCAAGGAACTGGTCTCACCATATTTATGGGTCTGTTTGTAAGTTTGGGTTATGTCCACAGTGGAAACTGAGCAAATGCTTATGGCAGCATACCCCCAAAGAAATACTTCTCACAGTTCCAGCACAAAGTTTTCAGTGGCCTTCAGTCTCTCTTTCTTTCTAAAAGTGCCAGATTGTACAGAGGAGCTGTGGAAACCTAGAATTTGACCTTTAGTCCAATCTAGACATCATGCAGTAGAACTTATGAGGGTCATTTTCTAGGATATCTTGGTACTTTTAGAGGTCCAGCTGTTAAGACCTTACTATTGTTGCAAAAACTGCAACCGTACCTTTTTAAATGTTCAACTGGCTCTCAATGAATCATGCTCTGGGAGAACATGACTTGTTCAGAATTAAAAATATACTAGATTGGCTTGAGGGATATTTGAATCCATTCAGCTGCTATAATAAAAACTTTAGCCTGGGTCATTTATAAACAACAGAAATTTATTATTCACAGTTCCAGAAGCGAAACTCAAGGTGCCAGTAGATTCAGTTTCTGGTGAGGGCTCATTCCTCATGCATAGCACCTTCTCCGTGTCCTGACATGGTGAAAGGGCAAAAGAGCTAATTAGGTCCTTCACACCTCTTTTATAAGGGCGTTAATACTAATCACCTCCCAAGACCCCACCTCTTTATATCACCAGTTTGGGAGCTAGGTTTCAACATATGAGTTTTGGAGGTGCACAAACATTCAGATCTTAGGGAATTTTTTTCTTCAGAGTCAGTGATGAGAAACTGTTAGAATGCTTAATAAACAGAGCCCCTCCTAGACATTCTGCGAATTCATCTCAAATTCACTAACCCTGATGTTAAGAATGTCCCCAAATTACTTATTCTTTTTTTTTTTACTTTATTTTATTTATTTTTATGTGGTGCTGAGGATTGAACCCATTGCCTCTCATGTGCTGGGCGAGCGCTCTTCCTCTGAGCCACAACCCCAGCCCCCACAAATCACTTATTCTTACTACAAATTTGAATTTTCAAGTTTAAAAAATAGCTGTTCCTACCCTGGCAATTCCAATGCTGGGTATATACACAAAAGAATTGAAAGCAGATTCTCACATTGATATTTTTATATCTTTATTTATGGCAGCATCATTCACAATAGCCAAAATTTGGCAACAGCCTTCATGTATTCATCAATAGATGATCAGTTAAATGAAATGTGGTATAGGGCAGTTGTATACTACTCATCTGTAATACAGAAGAAAATTCTGACACATACTATAATATAGATGAAACATTTTTAATTTCATGTTTTTATTGGTGCATTATAATTACGCATAATGATGGAATTTGTTGTTACATATCTAATTGCACTCAATGTAGCAATATATTTTGGCCAGTATCATTCCCTAGCAATCCCTGCTCCCTCCTGATCCCTGTTCTCTACTTATCTCCCTTTGATTTTCATGAGATCCCCAGCCCCTGCTTCTTTTCCTTTTTACTTTCTAGCTTCCACATATGAGAGAAAACATATGACCTTCTGAGTTTGGCTTATTTCGCTTAACATAATGGTCTCAAGTTCCATCCATTTTCCTGCAAATATCATAATTTCATTTTTCTTTATGGTTCAATAAAACTCCATCGTGCGCATGCGCGCGCATCACATTTTTCTTTATCCATTCGTTGGCTGATGGGCATGTAGGGGGTTCCATGTGAATTGTGCTGCTATAAACATGGGTGTGAATGTATCATTGTAGTCTGATGACTTTAATTCTTTAGGATAAATACCAAAGAGTGGTATGGGTGGGTCATATGGTGGTTCCAATGCCTAGTCTCTTGAGGAACCTCCATATTGAATTCCATTGTGGTTATAATAATTTACAATCACACAAACTGTAAAAACGTTCCTTTTTCTCCTCATCCTGTCCAGCATTTATTATTGTTTATATTCTTGATGACTGCCATTCTGATTGTGTGAGACAAAGTCTTAGTATAGTTTTGATACGTATTTCCCTAACTACTGATAATGTTAAGTCTTTTTGTTTGCCAAATGCATTTCTTCTTTTTGAGAAGCATCTGTTTATTTGCCCATTCATTAAATGGGCAATTGATTTTTTTGGTGTTTGATGAGCTCTTTATATATTCTAGATATTAATCCTCTGTAAGGATAGTAGCCAACAAAGATTTTCTTCCAGTCTGTAGATTCTCTTTTCACATTTCTAATTGTTTTGTTTGCTGTTAAAATTAAAAAGCTTTTCATAAGCTTTTTAATTTGATGCCATCACATTTATTAACTCTTGGCTGTATTTCCTGAACTTTAGGGGTCCTACTGAGAAAGTTGTTGCCTGGGCCTATAATGCAGAAGTGCTGATCCTATGTTTTTTTCTAGGAGTTGCATGGTTTCTGGTCTAATTCCTAGGTCTTTGATCCATCTGGAGTTGATTTTTGTGCAGGGTAAGGGATAAGGGTCTAGTTTCATTCTTCTACATGTGGATAACCAGTTTTCCCAGCACCATTTGTTAAAATGTCTGTCTTTTCTCCAATGTATGTTTTTGGCACCTTTGTCAAGGATCAGATGATGTGGATGTGTGGATTTCTTTCTGTATCATCTATTTTGAACCACTGGTCCATGTGTCTGTTTTCATGTTAATACCATGTAGTTCTGTAGTAGAATATGAAATCAGGTATTGTGATGTCTCCAGCGTTGCTTTTTTTTGGCTTAGAATTGCTTTGTCTAATCTCCATCTTTTTTCTTCCAAATGAATTTTAGGACTTTTTTTTTCTAGTTCTGTGCAGAATGTCATTAGTATTTTGATGGGGATTTAATTCATTTGTATATTGTTTTCAGTAATATGGCCATTTTAACAATATTAATTTTGCCTAAACATTGGTGAATCTTGAAAGACATTGAGCTAAGTGAAATATGCCAGACACAAAAGAATAAATACTGTGTTTCCATTTGAAGGAGGCATCTGGAATAGGCAAATTCATAGAGACAGAAAGTAGAATAGTGGTTACCAGGGATTGGGAGGAGGGGAAATTGGAAATAGTTTAATTAGTGGATTGGGATGATTTCAGGTTGGGGTGATGAAAAAATTCTGGAGATGGATAATGGCATTGGTCGAACAACAATGTGAATATACTTAATACCATTGAATTTTATGGTTGAAAATTCTTAAAATTGTAAATTTCATGTTATGTGCACTTACTATGACTAAAAATAATTTTTAAAATTAAAAAATGCCCCAATATAATTATAGTATTCTAGATGAATTATTTTTAAAGTCATACAAATTTGAATTTTAAAAGCCATCATGCCAATAGAAAGCATGACTGAGAGATTTGCCCACAGGAAAAAAGGCACTGAGACAAAAAAGGGTGATGACTTGAAAAAAATTCATGTAAAGTGAAGCAAATGTGTTGATTTTAAAAAGCCCTTAATTTATCCCAGTGGGTAGACTAAGATTTGTCTAAAACAATACCCACAGGCCATGCATAAAACTGCTAAGTACTTGAAGTGTGGCTAGTTTGAATTGTGCTATAAGTTTCAAAAACATAGAAGTTTCTAGACTAAACTACTTCCAATTTCCCTCCACCCAATCCCTGGTTACCACACACACATAGAGACTTATCTTTCATGAGTAACCCAACCAGTTATTGAAGTCTATATGAACCATACTGATACATACTAATATATCTTTCTAATTATATAAAGTGAATTATGACATAAATCTAAACTATAATGACAAATCCTAACTCTGAACATCACAGGTCAATTATGTAATTAATTTATGTGATTTCTTTGCTGTTGGAGTAGAATTTTTAACTATGTCTTTTATCAACTAATAAATCAAGGTAGTATGAAATGGCAAATAAAAAGCTTCCATTTGTCTTGAATAAAGAATAATTCACTTTTACTTGAAAATTTAAAAATAATGGATTGGGAGAATAAGGATCCCATCTGTTACATGATTTCCAGTCAGCCGTGACAATTGCACATCAGAAACATATTGAAATATCAACTTTACATCTTGCATTTACAGAAATTGAAGCATAAAATAGTTTAAGAGCCAGAAAATGTAATAACCATTTGTCAGAGAAAACAGGAGTATAAACTGGAGACACAGAGATTAGAATGGAGAAAACAAATATTGGAATGAAATGAAATTAATGTAACAACTCAAGCATAAAAAATAGCACAGAGGAGAAAAACATGACGTTTTAAAGGATTACTAAGGTCTGTGAGATTCTATTAAATTTACTTCAGGTTGAGAGTACTTCTAGTAGATTTACTAGGGAAAAATATATAAAGAGCCTTAGTAATACACAATGGAGTAAATAATTAAGGGGTATGAACTATTCTTCTCAAAACAACACTATTCTATGAAGCAGTCTATCAATGATCCTTTGAGTTATTTCATTCATGTGATTTCTATGCTTTTAGAGTAGAATTAAGCTGCTTAACTGACAAAAGACAAATAAGGAAATGGTCAGAATTTATACAAGCTCCACTTAGGGATGTCTCAATAATACAATATCATTATTTGTAATTTATACTATACCATTAGTTGTAATTTAAAACTATTTCAAATGCATATATTATAGATTAATAACATCCTTATGGTATTTAGATGTTGAAGTTACTTTTCTCATATTTTAAAAATCTCATTTATTTCATGTATGTGTTGTACAGCCTGTTTGTAAACTGACTCTCTCTCTTTTAAAGCTAGTGTTAGGAAGAATGTCTGTCTTAGATGTTTCTAAATGGCAAAAATATAAAAATTAATTGGGAGTGTTTTGTTTTTATTTTTTAAAAATAATTCCTATCACTAGATTAGAAAATATCATCAAAAACGTCATCTCTCTCATTGCGACTACCTTGCTAAATACATGTATTTTAAAAATGCACTCACATTACATAGACTGATTTGGAACTTGTTTTGTAGTTTAATAATATATTCTGAAATGCTCTCTGCCATTAACTCTTATTCCACAACATGTTTTGATTACATGGTTGAACCATAATTAAATTAACCTAAATTTTCCTATCATTCCTACTGTTACAAAAATTATATGCATGTGTCAGCCTTTATTACTCTAAAAAGTAACTGAGATAATAAAACTACAAAATAAAAGTTTTTTTCTTAGTTTTTCTTTGTTCTTTTTAGATATACATGACAGTACAGTATATTTTGACATATTATACACACATGGAGTATAAAAATCGTAATTAGGATCCCATTCTTGTGGTTGAACATGATGTGGAGTTATACTGGTGGTGTATTCATACATGAGCATAGGAAAGTTATGTCAGATTCATTCTATTGTCTTTCCTATTTCCATCCCCTTCCTTCTCCTTTGTCTAATTTAATGAATTTCTACTCTTCCCTCCCCCTACCTTATTGTGTGTTAGCATCAACATATCAGAGAACATTCAGCCTTTGATTTTGGGGGACTGGCTAAAAGATTTACTTTGGCTCAAAGTTTTGAAATTTTCAATGCATAATCAATTGGTCCCATTGCTTTGGACCTGTGGCAAGGCAGTACCTCATGGCAGGCCACCTGGCAAAACAAAATACTCACCTCATGGTCAGGAAGTGAAAGAGAAGGAAAAGATCACAGTCTCATAAACCCCCTTGAGGACACACTCCTCGTGACCCAAAGATCATTCTTGACTTCCTGCCCCCACACTTAAAGTTTCCACCCCTTCCTAATAATGCCAAGCTGGGGACCACACTTCTAACACATGGGGCCTTTAGGGGACATTGAAGACCACCAGGGAAGTAGGGAACTCCATCACAGATAACTTTCTGGACATAATCCCAAAAGCATACAGTTATAAAACTTTTCGTATGCACTACCAAATTGTCCTTGCAGATTTTAGTCTAGTAAGATATGAAGGTATCTATTTCATCATTCTCCTGCATTTTAAAGTAAGATCAAAAAGTACCTAACACTGTGCCTGCATAGAGTAGTATCATATGAAATTTGGTTCTCTTTCTGTTCCATTCTCATTTAGGGGGAGATTTTCACATTTTACATGTAAGTACATGTGGACCATTGGTTATTTGGGCATTTAATGCATTTAAAGTAGTAAGACTTTTAAATAAGTGGGTTTTATTAATGTTTACACTGAATCACAGGAATGGACATAGTCCATTCCATTCCCAAATCTTCATGAAATGAAATCAAACATCTTAAATTAATTGCACTGGGAAGTTTTACCTTGTAAACCTAATCCCATTACGTATAGGAAAGTGAAAGGATTTAGTCACCACTCTTGGTTGTCTGTGTATCAACAACTGAGCTTCTCAGGTTCCTACATGGAAATCAATTTTCCAAATATTCTGAATCACATTGAATCGGTTTCATGTGAAGGCCCTAGAGATGTAAAATCAAAGTTCAAAACAACAGGATCCACAATGCCAAGCCTTAACAAAACTAACTTTCCATTCACTTTAAAAAGCTAGAAAAAGTTTTAGAAACAAACAAATGTTTGTTGTTTTTTAGTGCAAGGTATCTTGATAGCAGCAAACACACAGCTAACTGTGAATGGCACAAGATCATGGCAAGGACTTCTAAAAAAAAAAAAAAAAACACCTCACAACTAAAGAGATTGGGAGATCTATTGGAGGATCTATTTAAAATTCCTTCCACCTTAAAATCCTTCCTCCTTTCAAACTGAAATAGCCATCTATTACCAAGAGAATATATTGTTTTCCCTAAGGGGAAAAAAGAAGCATAAGAAAGAAACTTGTCACTGAAAACTTATAAAGAATTAAGGTCCTTGGCCTTATATAGCATAAGATAAATATAAAGAAAACCCTCACACATAAACTAATGAAAAAAAAAAATAGTGAATACTTTCACAGCATGTAGTGGCCCAACAATGGTGTGATTGTCCATATCTATATTCTCTGAAAGCCATAGGTATTTTCACTGGCTTTGGCATTTTCTAGTAAGATCAGAGTTTTCCATTATGCCATTTCACAAAATAAGCCACAGATGATCTTTAAATTAAACTTCTCATTTATCTACTCTAAAGATACTACTTTTGGGTGTTTAGGAATTTTTTGAAAATTCTTCCTTTGAAAGACAAAATAATCATCATGTTAATTTTCTGTTTCCAAGGGGTTAGTTTCTTTTAAAATAGCACTGTGGCATTTATTGTATGCATTTACTAACCATGAAAACAGAAAGCCCAAGTTTTCTTCTATCTAGCACGCTGTAAAAAATATCAGTGCTTCCCTACAATGTCCACAGGGTTGTTTTTCTTGTTTGCTGTGTTTTTCCTGTTGTTTCCTTTCACTTTCAGGAACCAGTAATTTAAGGGTATTTTAAACTCTGAAGTCAATGGTAGAAGCTTCCTTTAATAATAATATAATCATAGCATGTTAATTCATTTCCTGTAGCTATCATAATCCATGGTTTCAAGATGAATTTTTAAGGTTGTAAAACAAAGCTAAATGGTGGATTTAACAGAAATATTTATTGTTAGAAGATAACAGATTCACTTTATACTTAAAATTTTATTCTTAGCATTAATACCATTTCCTTGTTCATATTATCTTCTTTCCAAACCTCCTTTAAAAAGCAGTGGAGATGAATGGTTGTTTTATGAAGCCTTAAAATTCTCAGAAGTGCTTTATCTTTTTATTGGAGCATCTATCACTGGTATAATTTTCATCCTGTACGGGCTTTTCATTTTGTACAAATTATTTACATTGAATTCAATTAATTTTATGATCTTCTCCAAATTATGACAAGCATATACAGTACCTAATATTTTTCTATAAAACTGCCTTGCCTGCTCTTTAAAGCATTAACTAAGATTGTCAGCTTGCCGAGCCTGATGCATACAAAGCTATTTTTCTGGCTATTAGGTGCTCAGGACAGTCAGTTCCCAAACATTTCAGCACACTGAGGTTACATATGTGATGGTTTTAAGTGGATTCTAATGTTTCTTAACCTGATAAAATGCTATTAATCCTTTGTAGCCACTTTCTAAAAAGTACTTCGTGTGCTGAAAACAAGTTCAGAAATGCAAAGCAATTTTATGTGTAACAATATTATCCTCACATCAGCATAAATTAATTTCTTTCAATAAAAGTGTTGGTGAAACCCTGTGAGGGAAATCAAACATAATTGTTTATGCTCTGTGAGTTGAAGAATAAAGACGAACTCATTGCTTATGTTCTTGTAATTTGAATTATCTGATATGGTGACGGTTATACATTATCTTCTCAGATGTTTGATAGTAATTCAGGAGAAATCTGGGATGACCTCAGGATGATCTCTCTAAGTCCAGCTGCTTAACTCTAAATTCCATTTAATAACCGTTTGTGAAATCAGCACATCTCCTCAGAACTCTCCCGTGGGTTGCAAGTGATCAAACAGACAAGGCTATTATGACAGGACTGTTAGATAGGTTTAACAGAAAGGGAACTCTAAAGACACCCATGAGCGATTATGAAACTGCACCCTGGGAAAGCCATATTCTTTATTAAAATCTCCACAAATAACAAAAGCATCATTGAAAAGTATGTGTGTTTCTCTCGCTATATATAGACTGTTTACATATATACTATTTACACATATTCCAAGTTCTTGGAAAATCATCACAAATTTGTTGGCTTCACATTTTATTACATGGCATATCCCTGAAACATTAAAAAGAACAAAAATATACCCATGCAATTTTCAGATAAAAAGTATCATTTGAACTTCTAATATGTATGTTTTCTTTTAGACCGTTTCCAAGATTTTGCTCATCAGTGTTTCCCAATTTAGGCTTCCTGGCCATGGGAATGACATGTTCTGGGTTATATAAAACTTGGTAGCTTGTCCTGGCAAGAAGCACTGCAGATTTCAAGAGTACCTTGCCTTTTCTGTAGCAAGAGCCAACCTGCGGATGTTGGATATACAACCTGCTGCAGCTTCCTGGAGTTCCTGATCAGGGGACCCAACCATATCCAGTAGCAGCTATCATAGGTAACAGAGGAGGAAGAGAAGAGAAACAAGAATAAAACCGTTAATCTAAAGTCATAACATTAATTTATAAAAATAATTTTAAACAGTAAGTATTTTTAAAAGCCACCAAAAAGAACATAAGAAATTCCATATAGGCAAATGCAAATATAACATGATGCTTTAATCAGATGTAGAATTCATCATGGATGAATTCTTACCTTTTAATTTTTTTGGAGCGGAGCTAGATCATTTCTTTGGGCATTACTAGAATGGGTTCTGCTTCTGAAACTTCTCTGGCATTCTTTCTGGCTTTTCCACCTCCCAAGTTAACCAATCATACCACCCCTAGATTCTTACTGCATCCTCTTAGACTTAATCTCTCTGAATTACAGTCCATCTAATCATGCCATTGTCTAATTATATCAATCCCCCAATACCGACTGTCAGTGACTCCCAATGCCAAAAATCTAGAGCCTAAATTATTAACCTGTCGTATTATGACAGGACTGTTAGATGGGCTTAACAGAAAGGGAACACTAAAATAAATAAATAGATAGATAGATAGATAAATAAATATACATACATACATAAACAAACATACTCACTCCTTGGAGACTTTGCATACTTAAGCCTCAGTTTGCTTTTCCAGCCATTCATCTTTGTCCTGCCCCTTCATGCACTGCAAGGTCATACTTCCCCATTTAACTTGCCCTTCTTTTATGCCATTCCTCTCTCTAAAGTGCCCACCCAACCCTTCTCTTTGTTAACCGAATCCATCTTTGAAAATGGAATTAGTCAACATTTCCACAAAGCCATCACAGATTTCCTCCATCCAACAAAAATGCCATTTCTTCTTTCTCAGAACTCTTAGGAGTTCATTCCCTTTCTAACAAATATTTGAGTTAATGTTTTTTGTCCCTGAGGTGATAAATGCTTAAACTTTAAGGTCATATGTTACCTAGAGCACATAGTAGATGCCAAGTAAATGCCAAATTACAATTTTAAAATCTAGCAACTATGATTCTTATTAATAGTTCTGATAAAAGATAAAAAAGATTAATCTGGATAATATATTTTCTATATACTAGTGGTTGAGTACACATATGGGTGATACCAGAAAATGCAGATGACATAAAAAGTAAAGAAATATAATAAAGAGAAATATTGTAAAGTTTCTTAAATATGCCATACGTAGGACTTTGGCTTTTATTCTCTAGTAATATAAGGAAGTGATTTAAGTACTTTAATCAGGAGAGTGATATCATCATATTTATGTTCTAGAAAAAGAATTTTTACAGAAACTTATAGATTATGAATTATAGAGTGAAGATACTGAAAGGTAATGCATTACCTTGCTAAATGTGATAAGGATTTAATAAAGGATAAGGATGATGAGGAAGGAAGGAATTCAAGGGCTATTTAACGACTTAGTAACTATTCAATAAATAACCCAAGAAATGTTGATTATACTAATAGAATAAAATAAAAATGGTAATTTCACATTATAATATCAACTCCAGATGGATTAATGAATTAATCCATTAAGTTCCAAGTTTTTAATTCTTCAAACACAATAAATATTTACGTATTATTTCAAAGTTACCATAAGTGGTTGATTTGTTGTTTAATTTAAGTTTTCATAGGCATTTCACATCTGGAACAAAATGGGTTCAATAAGAAAGGAAAAATGTAAAACATTTAGAAGGTTTTATACAAGAATATCTTGATGAAATTAGGGCATTGAAGGATGTCTGGCTTCTCTGTTACCTGACCTCCTAAATATCACTGATCTTCACCACTCCTCTAACTCCACAGTCATACACCAGTCCTTATTTTCCATCATACCCAAGAGTCCACTTCCAAACTCTCTGACCACTGTGCCTTCCCTTATGATTCGATTATTTAACAATTCTTGTTTGTTCTCATCATGACCATGTACTTTGGCCCATTTATGCTTTTACTATATCAGTCTTTGTTTCATCCACTAACAGCTCAGATTCCATAGTCCATCTCTGCAGTAATTCCCTTACCAGTTTCTTAAACCTTCATAGGACAACCATCCATTTAATGGTACATAAATCCCACTCAGCCTTCCTCATGTCTCCTCCAATAACTGAGACCTTCCAAAGGCAATATTCAGACAACAGGCAAATGGATCTACTATAAATTCAACAGCAACTACAAAAATCATTGCCCAGCAATCTAAATATGCCTCTCTCTAATTAGGTAACTTTCTCACTCTTTTCAATGACTATTTTAAATCTTCTTTGTTTTCTGCAGTCTCTTATGCTTCCATCTGACCCCTGTTCTCAGGAGATGACCTGTAAGGACACCTTCTCAAACTTGATGGAAGCCACCCGACAGGAACTACTCTAACTAAAACTGCCACTCTACAAATACCTTAACACATCTTTATTGTCTCCTTCCTTGCAGCTATAACAGATGTCTATCTCCTATACAAAGGCTGCTACTACACCTGTATTTCCCATCCAGTCTCTGTCTCCTTGGAACATTTTAGTACCAAGCATTCCCTTTCTTCTTAATTAACCTTTAACCTCTTCCTTCCTAATAAGTTTTTTTTCATCATCATTTAAATAAATGTACATTTTTCCACATTAAAAAAAAAAACAAAATGACACCATTTTCACCCCCATTTCTTCTTTTCATAGTCAAACTTCTTTTAAGACTTGTCTGGATTTACTATCTCCTGTCTTCAATTCCATTCAACTCACTACAGACTGGCTTCAACCTTTAGTTTTCCATTGAAATGGCGCTTTGGGAGACCATCAGTAACTTCCATGTTATCAGAAGGAATGGATACTTCTGTGTTTGTATCTCATTTGATTCTTTAACAACATTCGGTATCATTGACTACTTTCTCCTTTTTGGAATATACTTTGTCATTGGATTTTATTTTTTTTCTTAGTGCCACACTCAAACCTCTGGCTTCACACATGTTGAGCATGTGCTTTACCACCCACCTAGATCCCCAGCCCTGCCTCTAGCATCTTACACCCTACTCTCCTGGTTTCTTCCTACCCACCTTTCTCTTCTTCTCAACCTTCATCAATGTCTCTACCTCTTCCTCTCATACATAATTTGTTAAAGTTACTCAGAACAATTCCTCTTCTGTTTTCCATTTTGTTCTCTCTCCCTAGATGATTGCTTTTACTACCTAAATTCAAATATCATTCACATGAAACCATCTCTAAATTTATCCTTTACCTCAGAACTTTCTTTCAAATGACACACTACTTATCTAATGTTCCTTAGACATCTCCATTTGGAAGTATAACAGCCATCTCAAACATAATATACTCCAAATGAAACTTAACTTTTTCTGTCTAATCATGGGTCCCTCTCATTATTTTTCCATATCAATATCAATAGATATTATCACTTAGGTGTTTAAACAGAAATCCTATCTTATATTCACTTCTACCTTCATCTCTTCTACTGCTTCCCATGAATTACCATATCCTTGTGATCCAATGCCTACATATTTTTAAAGTCATTCATATCTATTGCTCTTGTCACCTCCTGTAAAGTCTATAGCAATTTCCTAGTGTCCTTGTATCCTGTCTTGGATACTTAATTAATTGCCTATAATTTATCATTTATACTGAATCCAAAGTAATTTTCTAAATTATAAAAAGTCACCAATAATAGGTAAAACCCCAAAGAAACAAAAGGAACCAAAATTTGAAAAGTCTTCAACAGAAAGAACCAGCCCTATGTGTCCATGGGAATGTAGGTCAGCATAAGGTTGTTATGTAAATACACACACACACACATAATGCACACACATATAAACACACTTATACACCCACATTCTCTATCTCTCTTTCTCTTCAGGAAGAGGCGATGATAATGGGAAGGAAGAACAGAATAGGCAGCTCTCCTTGATCTCCCTCTCACATGACAGATATCTTTGTATAGCAACTTACACGTAAGTCTCTTTCCTTAGCTTGTAGCTTTTAACTCATTATACTGCAGTATTTTCATCAATCCACTGGTTTATACCTCACCTGGCTCTAAAGTTTTTAAAGCAGATATTATTATGTTAATTTTAGACTATTTCTGCTAAATATGTATCTCATGTAGTTCTTCCTCTGATTTAATCATCCTTACACATCTTTTACTGCTTATTTCTGCCCACCTCCACCATGGTAATCCTCCTTGATCTTCAGTACTTAGTGTTACCTGTAAACCTGGAGGCTTCACTCTTCCTCATCATTATTAATCATTAAATATGAGCAGTTTCAGCCTTGATGCCAAAGAAGCCTACTAATTACATATTTCTGTTCCCAGATGTAGTCACTTTTCAATTTCTGCTTTCCAATCTTTAAATTATTTCTTATAGCAGAACAAAATGTTCCAGGACAGGAATTACAGTTTAGTGGTTGAGTATGTTTTAGCATGCACAAGGCCCTGGTTCAATTCCCAGCATGACAAACAAACAAAAACCCCAAAATGCTCCAACCAGTTTCTTGGTAAGTTATATAAACTCTTGAGGATTTTAAAAACTTACTAGTGATTTTACTTTATATGACTTATTTTCTTCTATTTCTTCCCAAGTAGATGATTATGAGTCCCCTCACTGATTCCTTTGTTTTATAAAATATAATAGTAAGAATCTCCCAATATTGTAAATCATTTATTACTATATTAATTTTATTGTGATAGCCAATAAAATTTGAATGAACCTCACAAAAAAAAAAAGTCTCAGTTACCTGTAGACTTTTCTTGGCCCTGGATTAGAGGGTCTCGTGTCATACTGAATGTTTGATTTTCACAAGCAAATGGGATGTAGAAATAATCTGTGTGTTAGTCAGCTTTTTGTCTGTGACCAAAATACCTGACAAAAACAACTGTGAGGAAGAAAAGTTTATGGTTTCAGAGGTTCAGTCTAAGGTTTGCTCTCTCCATTGCTCTAGGCTGGAGGTAAGGCAGATCATCATGGAGGAAGGGTGTGATACAAGAAAGCTGCTCAGGTCATGACAGCCAGGAAG